ATGACCACGGAGACGTCTTCGGACAGCGCTGGCTCTTCAGCTTTGAAACGGAGATGAGCACCGCCCCCTAGAGTGGGGAACAACTAGCACAGATGTGCGAGGGAAATCTTTACCTTTTAAGGATTATATGTCACAGGATTTTAGAGATGCTTAGGTGGCGCATGGCCCAAAAAAACCACTGCTCTAGATCAAAAGTGCATATTTTGCGGGAATAGATAGCTTGGCTGGTTAACCACATCAATGTAAAGTGCATATAAAAACCATATTTTTTCACCCCAATGCAGGCAGCGCCTGAGACGGAGCCTACTAGAATGTGAATCAGGTTGAATACCTTTCTTAAAATGGACAGGTGACGTACACACAAAGACACCCTTTTGCATTTCACCATTATCAAAATTGAGAAGCGTTTTCAACAGATTTCAAACTTCCGGGATTTCAACCATGATCCCAACCTAACCTTCACTTTAACCTTAGACTGTCTCCCGTGGACCTCACCCCATTCCTAAGAGATCTGTAAGGGGGCGTGCATAAGCCCACCAGTGTGCCTACCGTCCCTGTCCTACTGTCCCCCATTTATTCGTATCCGTTTCATGTATTCATAATCATGTTTATACTTCAATCTGTTATCTTACGAATGCTTGACAAATAATAAAAAGATATAAATAAATAAAATGAAACATCTCCTAACGTGGCTTTTCCCAAAGTTCTTTCTTTCCCTATCAAAAAGCAACCATGGAATTTATAGATAGATGGATGATAGATGGATGAATGGATGGATGGATAAATTATATTCATAGATAGATGATAGATAGATGATAGATAGATAGATAGATAGATAGACAGACAGACAGAGAGAGAGAATGAGAGACAGGGACAGACAGAAAGTGAGAGAGAGAGAATGAGAGAGAGAATGAGAGAGAGATAGAATGAGCAAGAATGAGAGAGAGAATGAGAGAGAATGATAGAGAGCGAGAATGAGAGCGAGAATGAGAGAGAGAATGAGAGAGAGAGAATGAGAGAGAGACAGACAGACAGAGACAGAGGCAGAGAAAATTGTTTTGAGAAACTTCCTCAAACCAAGCCAACCCGTCCCAAGGAACAGATGACTCCGTGCCCAAGCGGCTGCCTACAAAATCCGAAAACAAGGAAAGGACAAAATATATACATATATATTTCCCCTCCCTCCACTGGCTTAAATAAATAAATAAACAGGGGGAGTGAGGAGAGAGAGAGAGAGAGGAAAGGGAACACTTTTTATTCATTTGCTAATTTTGCTCTGCTCCAAAAGTCATTCCTCTTAACTACACAGACATTTCAATTTTCTTTCTTTTCTCCTTTTTTTTTTAAGAAAAATGCAAATACGGTACTTTTAAATCACAAATGGACAACCTGGTGAAAGAGAGGATAGGGGTGGGAGCCCCAAAAGAGATGTGGGGAGGGGGGAGAAGGAATAACCACGGTTTATAAAAAGCCTAAGAGGAGAAAAAAGGGGACGCTCTCGGCACACTGGAATTATTGGCTACGGACGGCGTGGGGTGTGGGTGGGTAGGTGGGAGATAGAGAGTTGGGGCAGTAGGAGGGGTGGGTGAAGAGGGACGATCGTTATTTGGACCCATAAGATTTCGAAACATACTTTGGCATATGCACAAAACAAATCGGAAGAATACACTATTCAAACCACACTCCTGTATGGAGACAAAAGAGACCAAGGTCGCCAAACATCGGAGAGGCCAAGAGGTGAGGGAGGGGGGTCTTTTAGCCAGAGACCATCCATTGAGTCACTCCAGGGAAAGACCCTCCCTCTTTTCCTCCCCCCCAATACCGATCAAAGGGGGTGGGTGGGACAGCGAACCCAGAAACCCGGCGAGCCCCTGCTGGTGGAAATCCTCGGTCCTTCCGAGATACGGTAGCGGTATGTCGGGCTAGAGGGGGGGGGGGGACACGTAGGTCTCGCTCCCCCTCTCTTTCTTTTTGCACATCTGGATGTCCTGAGTTCGGGCATGGGGTGTGGGGGTGTGTGTGGTGGGGAGAAAGCCCCCTCCCCCGTCAGACGTGACACCCGTTGGAAGGTCTTTTGCTGCGGGAGGCAGAGGAGTCCTTTCCCGCCCGGTGCCGGGTGCAAGGCGTGCAAAGGGCGCCCGAGAGGTGCTTCAACCCTTTCTGAAAGACACTGTTGGACAAGCTGTAGATGACACAGTTGCAGAAGCTATTGCTGATGGCCAGCCAGGTGGTCAGGAAGGCGGCCAGGCGGTTGTGGTACACCGAGGAACTCTCCAGCAAGAAGTAGATGATGTAAGGGAGCCAGAGGATGTAGAAGACGCTGGTGATACGCAGGAGGACCATGGCATAGCGCTTGTCGGGGCAGGGCTGCCCCTCGGCGGGCTCCCCTTCCTGGGAGCTGAAGCGCACCCGCCTCTCGTTGATCTCCCGCGTGTGCTGCTGGCAAATGCGGAAGATGCTGAAGTAGGTGAAGCAAACCACCAAGGCGGCCGGCGCGTACAGCATGACCACGATGAAGAGGGTGAAGACGGCCCGGGTGTCCCAGTAGTCGGCGCACCACTGGAAGATGTCTCCGTGGTAGCCGGGCTTCCCCCACTCAAAGAACGCCGGCAGGAAGACGGCGCCCGAGTAGAGCCAGAGCAGAAGGATACAGGATCGCAGCCGGCAGGGGGTGACCAGCGTGCTGTAGGTGAGCGGTTTGGTGATGGCGATGTAGCGGTCCAGGCTGATGCAGGCCAGCGAGGTCATGGAGACGCTCTTCAGCACCGAAACCACGTAGCCGAAGACTTTGCAAACCAGCGACTCGGGCAGGAAGGCCAGCGGGCGGTGCAGGAGGGAGAGGGAGGGCACCAGGCAGCTCACCCCCACCAGCAGGTCGGCGTAGGCCATGGTCTGGATGAAGTAGCTGGTGGTGTGTTGGTTCAGCAGCGGCGCGCAGTGGAAGACGAAGATCACCACCAGGTTGCCCGAGATGATGAGGACGGTGAGGAAGACGATGATGATCACCTCCAGCAGGCAGACGTCCAGGCTGTCCGGGTAGCCGGCTGCCAGCAGACAGAAGGGCCTCCCGCCGCTGCTCCCATTGCCGGGGCCATCCAGGGAGGCGTTCATCTTGCACGGGCGCCCGGGGGGCCCCTCACGCCGGCGGCCGCTGCCCGGCTGCTGCACCCGCTGTCATTGCGGCAGCTCCTGCGCGTGCGACGGCAGCGGTGGCTGCTCCTCGGGAAAAGGCGAGGAGGAGCGTGGCGGCCACCTGGGCATTGTCCGCAATGCTCCCTCTTGGCTCGTTCCTGCTGCTGCCCCCGGCAGCCACCGCCCCCTCTTCCAGCTGGGCTGGCTGGCTGCCGCTGGGAGGGGGGGGGCAAGCAGAAGTGCGCTGCTGCTGGGCTGCTCTCTGGCTGGAAGAAGAGGGGGCTGGCTGGAGGGTTTGGGGGGGGGAGAGGGAGGGGAGGAAGGCCAGTGGAGCCACGTGGAGGCGGTTCCTGCTGGAAGCCGAGGGAGGAAGAAAGAAGGGGCGTTTTACAGCATCCCTCCCTTCCTTCCCGGATGCGCCAGGCGGCCTCCCCGCCCCCAACACTGCAGGAGAGGGGGCGAGGAGAAGGGGGCCAGCTGCCCACCAGCTTCCCGGGGTCTGGAGAAGGGATGCTCTGGAGGATGGCCCCCTCCTCCTCCTCCTCCTCCACCACCACCGCCTACCTGCCGCTGCTGCTGCTGCTCCGAGAAGGAGGACAAAGGCGAGCTATCGCAGCCAGCTAGCCAGCCAGGCAGGAGACAATGTGTGTCTGCCTAGGGTGCCCGCCCGGCAAGAGGCAGGCAGCTGCCCACTGCAGGTCCAGAAGGGGAGGGGAAAAAAGGCAGCGCAGCTCAGGGCTGATGGTTCTCTCCACCCAGCTGGCTCTGCAGATTGGGGGGGGGGAGAGAGAATGCGTGCGCCTGCGTGTGCCCGGGGGCTCCTCCTGCGCGCTTCCTTGCTCTCCTCTGCACTGCCAAGCCCACCGCCCTGCAGGAAGTTTCTCTTGGCTTGGGGAGGGGAGGGGGAGCTTCGGGCTGAACTCACCCGCTCACCTGCCCCTGCCTCTCAGCTCTGCCCACACCGGTGGTGAGGGATCTCAAGCAGCCCAAGAAAGCAGCCTGGTCCTCCAGACGAAAGGGAAGGATGTCAAGCCCTCCCTCCCTCCCCCCCCTAAGTATCATCCCCTCGGGAGGGCTGCTGACAGAGGGACCCTCTCTCATTCTCCCTGGCGCATTTTGGCAGCCGCCTCAGCCAGAGGGGAATCCCGTAGAGCTGACCCCCCCCAAAAAGGGGGGAAATCAAAAAAACATGGCACCCCCTCCGCCCCCAGGACATCAGCGCCTGTCCTTGTGACCGAGATCCACCAGAGTGTCCCTTGCAGGAGTTTTGACAGACTGAAATCCGGACGGGGCCTGTGTGACTGGACGCCTGATCCAAAGGTGCCTTGACAGAAGTAAGCCTGAATCCTGCTCTTTTGACATGGTCTTCTAGGGTCCCCTGCTTGAGCAGGGGGCTGGACTAGAAGACCTCCAGGGTTCCTTCCAGCTCTATCCTGATTGATTGATTGAGGGAAGCCTCTGGATTAAACCAGGCCTTCAGCTGTGCTTCCAAATCTCTTTAACCCCTATTCCTCATCTATCTATCAATCTGTCTGTCTGTCTATCTATCTAATCTTATCTATCATCTATCTATCATCTATCTATCCATCATCTATCTATCCATCTAATTTTATCTATCATCTATCATCTATTTATCATCTATCATCTATCTATCATCTATCTATCTCTCTATCTATCTATCCATCTAATTTTATCTATCATCTATCATCTATTTATCATCTATCATCTATCTATCATCTATCTATCTCTCTATCTATCTATCCATCTAATTTTATCTATCATCTATCATCTATCATCTATCTATCATCTATCTATCTATCCATCCATCCATCCATCTAATTTTATCTATCTATCTATCTATCTATCTATCTATCTATCTATCTATCTATCTATCTATCTATATCTCTATCTATCATCTAGCTAGCTAGCTAGCTATCATCTATCTTGTTGGCTAGCTATCATCTATCGATCTCGGGTTCCCAGGAGAAACTCTCCTCTTTGAATAGCGAGGCAAGATGATATCAGGATTCAAACTCAGATTTTAGGGCATCCAAGAAGAGAGGGAGGAAAGGAGGGAAGGAGGACTAGCTGGACATCAGAAAGGCTCAGGTGATTCCTCAGCCATGGAAGAGACGGCTCCTTCCGAGCATCTCCCCTCCATCTTGCTCCTTCGGTTACCATAGAAACTGGCTCTTTCTCTTTTCCTTCCTTGAAGGCCTTGGAAACTCGGGGATCCGAAGGGCCGGGAAGGCAAGCCTCATTTTTCTGCAGCTTTTCGGCTCAAGAAATCCTCCCACGCCTTTTTCAACCGGACGCAAGTGAGCAAACCGTCTCGAATCGAGTCTCCCTCCCAAAAAATAAATCGATTTCAAGGGGATTCCAGAACGAGCAGCTCAGACTGACGACTCAAGGACGTTCTCCGAAAAACTGCGCAGAGAAAGCCTCTTCCCCCCCAAAATATATGAATATCCCCTCTCCCGTTTCATCCGGCGTGAAGGAGAACACATCTTTCTAGCTGATGGGGCCGTCTTCGGGTTTGGTGGTAGTGCCGTTTGACGTCCACGCACCTGAACCAGGTGCTGATGAACGTGTGAAGGTTTAGGAAGGAAGGAACAAGGATGCTGGGAGGAGTGAATCAGACCAGGCTTAAAAATCCCTGTCCAGTTCGAAAGATGCATTTCTAGTTTGTGTGTGTGAGCGCAATTTTTTTCCCTTCATGTCTGAAAAAGCCGGATGATTTAGAAGACGGAGAAGGGAGGGATCCAGCCATTAATCAATTGATTGATCAGAATAGAGCTGGAAGGGGACCTTGGAGGTCTTCTAGTCCAGCCCCCTGCTCAAGCAGGAGACCCTAGACCATTTCAGATGAATGACTTAAAAATCTCCAATGATGAAGCACTCACAACTTCTTGTGGCAAGCCATTCCACTGGTTCATTGTTAGGAACCTCCTTCTTAATTCCAGGTTGCTTCTCTCCTTGTTTAGTTTCCATCCATTGCTTCTTGTCCCGCCTTCTGGTGCTTTGGATAATAATTTGATCCCCTCCTCTTCTTTGTGACAGCCTCTCAAATACTGGAATCCTGCTATAATGTCCTTCTTTCCTCTAGATTGGCCATACCCAACCAAACCTTGCAACCGTTCTTCATATGTTTTAGTCTCCAGGCCTTTAATCATCTTAGTTGCTCTTCTTTGTATATTTTTCTCCCCAAAGTCTCAACATTGCTGTTGAGACATTAGATCTACACACACTCCAGAGCCCCCAGTTTTTAGGGAAAGTCCCTGGAGATCTATCTTCTGCCTCTCCTACAGCAGGTACATCCATCCCTCCGAAAACTAAGGCAGCCAAATTTGCCAAATCATTTTGACAAGTATTTGAAATCCCAGCATCCTACAGTATGTCCACGATGGCTGTCAGTCAAAAGATTGACTGCCAAACTCTGCGATCCAAGCTTAGGCAAGGCTGAACCTTCTTTTACAAAAGCTTGGCGTTTTCGTGGCCTCTTTCGTCACAGCTCCAACACTGATCAACAAAGGTTTTTTTCTGTGAGCTGGATGAAAGCACCCACAACTTCACAGCTTCTGGAGGCAAGCAGTTCCACTGGTTAACTGTCCTCGCTGCCTAGGAATTTCTCCTTAATTCCAGGTTGCCTTAACAGATGAACAGAGTTAGAAGGGACCTCATAGGTCATGTAGTCCAACCCCCTGCTCAAGCAGGAGGCCCTACACCATTTCAGACACATGGCAGTCCGTTCTCTTCTTGAAAGATTCCAGGGATGAAGCTCCCACAACTTCTGTTCCGTGGGTTGATTGTTCTCACTGTCAGGAAATTCCTCCTTATTTCCAGGTTGAATCTCTCCTTGGTCAGTTCCCATCCATTATTCCTTCTCTGGCCTTTGGGTGCTTTGGAAAATAGCTTGACCCCCTCCTCTCTGGGGCAGCCCCACAAATATTGGAAGACTCCTAGGCTGTCTCCCCTGGTCCTTCTCTTCACTAACTAGGCCCAGTTCCTGCAACCGTTCTTCACATGTTTGAGCCTCCAGTCCCCTCATCATCCTGGTTGCTCTTCTCTGCCCTCTTTCTAGAGTCTCAACCTTTATAGTATGACCAAAACGGGGATGCAGTACTCTAGGTGTCCTCTGGGGGGGCGTGTGAAGGTGTGGTTTTTCCCCCCTCTTTTTCTTAGACTGGTTAAATGAAAAAAAAAATCAGGAGGAAAGGAAACACCAGCTTGGGTTCAATCTCAGAGCTGGTGCGAAGCTGCTTCAGGATCCCTGTGAGGTGCACCCTGTCGTTTGTCCATGGAACAACTGTGGAGAAAAATGCTGGATGGGGCTTGGAGCAAAGAACAGCTGGCGCATGTCCCGCACAAAGGCCCCTCTGTTGAGGGGGCAATGGGGAAGGACTGCTTTCCAGACAAGAAGCTCCCTCCCAGTGGAAGTTACAGGAGGGCTCCACTTAAGGGAAAGCTTCCCCTTGCACAGCCGTGATCGTCGTTCCCGGCTCTAGAGGGCGGTGCTCATCTCCGTTTCAAAGCCGAAGAGCCAGCGCTGTCCGAAGACGCCTCTGTGGTCATGTGGCCGGCATGACTCAATGCCGAAGGCGCATGGAACGCTGTTCCCTTCCCACCAAAGGTGGTTTCTATTTTTCTACTTGCATTTATTTACGTGCTTTCGAACTGCTAAGTTGGCAGAAGCTGGGACAAGTCACGGGAGCTCCCCCCGTTATGCGGCACTGGGGATTCGAACCGCCAAACTACCGACTTTTCTGATCGACAAGCTTAGCATATTAGCCACCTTCTGCTCCACTTACAATTCATTTAGTGACCATTCAAAGCTACAACGGCCCCGCAAAAGGCAACTTACGACTGTTTTTCCACACTTAACGACCACCGTTGCAGCATTCCCCGGGATCCAAATTCAAACGCTTGGCCACTGGCCCGTATTTGTGACAGCTGCAGTGTCCTGGGGCAGTATGTCACATGATCCCTTTATTTGCAACCTTCTTGAGAAACAAAGTTAATTGGGGAGCCATATTCACTTAAGGACCGCGCTCCCCATCTAATAACTGCAGTGAGTCACAAGGAAAGTCATCAAATGGGGTGAAACTCAGCCAATTTCTCACTTACTAACAGACATTTGGGGCTTGATGGTGGCCATAAACCC